AAGATGTGAAGCGAAAAATAATATTTATTTTTTTGGAATTTTCGGCAACATTTCCCTATCCCCCATGGGGTCAAGAATGTGCCAAGGGAAAGGAGAGACCAAGATAAACACACTAAATTTCAAAATGCCGTAAATTAAAATTTCAAAAAATAAATAAAATAATAATAAAAAAAATAATAATAAATAAATAGACGAGGAGGTGAAGAGACATGAAGTGTTGGATTTTTAAAAAATTTCGGCAGCATTTCGTTACCCCCATGGGGTCGAAGTGTGCCGTCAAGAAGAAAGACCAAGTAAAATGAGAAAATTTCGGCAGCGCTTCGTTACCCCCACGGGGTCAAGATGTGTGCCGAAAGCAAAAATGACCAACTCCTAATTAGATTCAAGGGTGCCGCAAAGAAATTTGAATTTTCAAAATAAATAAAAAGAAAATAAAATAAATCAGAAAATGAGAAAAGAAGGTGGGGAATAAGATAATTCGAATTTTTGGAAATAAGAGAAAATATAAATCAAAAGAAAGATAAAAAGAAGAAAAGCAGAAAAATTTAGAAGTTGGGGGGAAGGGGGATGAAAAAAGTGAAGGAGAAAAGAGAGAAATAGGCGAGAGAGAGAAAAAGAGTGGGGGGAGATGGGGGAAGTGATGGGGTTGCAGTTGGGGAAAAGGAGAGTGAGAGAATGAGAGAGAAAGGGATGAGAATGGTGGAGAGGGATCAAGAAGCAAATAGAAAAGAGGAGAAAACAAAGAAAATAAATAAATAAAATAAAGTAAAATAGTGGGTGGTGGGAGAAAAGGCGGGGTGGGGAGAGGGGTATGAGTAGTGAGAGTGATTAGAAGGAAGTGAGTGAGGTAGAAGAGGAAGAAGTAGAGGGGGTGAGTAAGAGGAGAGAGAAAAGGTAGAAAAAGAGGATTAGTAGGGAGAGGGAGGAGAGAGGTGATACCTGGCCCTTTGTGTCTCCAAGAGCACAAGGTATACCAAGACCAGGAGGGTCTTGGCCTTCACTGCAGCAAGCCAACTGGAGGAGGGAGGGGGCTGAAAACTTGATCAGCCCCTAGCAGCAGCATTGTACATCCAGCGTGTGCTGTGTGAGCAGACCCTCACCACTGTAGAGCAACCCTTGATCAGGGGGTCTTCACGGTCCACAGCAGGCTGCCACGTGGCACTGCAGATGCCCACGGGCACAGGCAGCAACAACCACGGTGTCTTCCCACCGCCGTGCGTGGGGGGCAGGGGGGGGGGAGGGCGCAAATAATTGCCTGCCCGCTGCTGTTGTGCTGGCCGGTGCTCGACGGGGGGAAATAGTAGGCACAATACGTCTTCAACACCAGTGTGCCGCCCTACCAGGCCATGCACACATTATGACCAGTGTGTTATAGAGGTGGCTACGCACGCGCATAGCCAGTAGCTGCCCAGGTTAAAACCCTAGCAGCAGCGTGCATCCTGGATCTTGATGAAGTAAATCCGGGAGCGGGGTGGGGCGGGGCAGCGGGGCAGCGTGGGCACGTGGCGCGTGCGTGTGCGTGTGCGTGTGCAGTGGTCTTGACCTTGGCGTTTGCGCGCACACGTCGTGACGGCAACTCTTTTTTTCGCCACGTGTCGCTCCCTCGCTGCTGCACGTTGTGCGACGTTTTCCGACTGTTTTCGCTGCAAGGGGTTGAAAAACAACCAAAAAACTCAGTGTCGGGTTTTGGCAGTTTTCCCTGTTATGCGGTATGGTGGGTGGGAGCGGGGAACGTTCCCGCTCTGATACCAGTGTGGCGGACCCACTAGGTGTGGTGCTCCGCCTGGGATAGAGATGGAGATGGAGGATGAGAGTGGAGCAAGATGGCACAACGCAGCTCCCACGCGAGACTTCAACGCATGTACTCCGAACTATACGAATGCAGAATAATCTGAAAAACAGACAACAGTTTGGGTCCCTAGCGGATTGACTGGACTGGCTGGTACCGACAGAGGTACCGGCCTGGACTGGACTACCCCAAATACAACACAGGCCTGTGAGAACAGAAGGGGCTGGTCGCACAGGCCAACCAGAGGTCCGCTACACAGAGGGCTAGAGAAGAGGCAGCAGCAGCCGAGCGATTGCTTGCAACAACAGCAACCAGTGCAGCAGCCATGGCTACTTCTGTTGCTTCCTCCGGTCAGCAGACATTAGGCATGCGGACCAGTTCACAACCCACATCGAGGCCCCCATTTTTTCCATTACCAATTTCTTCACCGGTGATGACAGGTCCCACTGTCTCAGTTTAGCAGTTCACCGAGCGGTACTTCAACAACAGCATTACAGACTGCTGCTTCTTCATCCTCAGGTCCAGCGGCCGGCGCTACACAGTTGCCGGTCCCACCAGGGAGACAACAACAGCCTTGGAACCCCAAGACTACACTGAAACCATCCTCAACCTTCTCGGGTGATAAGAAGGATGAGGCTCTCGAAGCTTGGTTGAGGACGATGCCAGTGCAGGTGAGGGCAAAGAGGAAACTGTTTGAGGAAGAGGTGATCATTGTTGCCTTGTATCTCGAGGGATCGACGACCCGATTGCGAGATGGATTGGGAGCCTCGAAAGGGTTTGGCAGGCGAATGAACGATTGGGCTAAGACCCATACTTTAGAGAACTTCATGGAGCTCATAGAAACGCGATGGCACAACCCTCACCAGGCACAGCAGGCCATTGATGCGTTGACCTGGTTTGATACTAAAAGTACAAGTCCGCGCGTGAACTTACCTCTGCCATGGAGCGTCTCATTGTCGTCCCCGACGTATGTCTTCCCACAGACGTCAAAAACTTGTTGGTCAACGAGGTCAGCATCGAATATCACACTATGGACTCCTTAAGCAAGAAGGCCTTAAACTTAGAGGCTAGGCTAGGAGAAGCCCAACAAACCTCGGAGGATGGAAAAAAAAAAAAGAGTCCACAAGAGTGGAAGAAAAGGGGTAATCGATTGATGATGGTTGATTCCGACGGGAATCAAACAGAGATCGACGATGTTTCCGACCTTGTGGACGAAACAAAGTTTGGAAGTGAGGATAATGTTGTGGGTAGCAACCTCGCTTCCTTAGTAAAAGTTGAGGCAATTGGCCTCGGCAAGGGCGGTCAACAGAAGAGTCAGGGCAGACCCAAAACTCAAACAAGATTTCAGCTTCAGTGAGGGTGGGTCTGGATCAAGATGTGTGGCAAGATCGTTATTCGCGAGGAGCTTGCATAAATTGCGACGAGTACAACCATCAATAATTTAGGTGCAAGAACGCGAAGGATTTGCAGAGGATACCTCCCAAAGGTGGATTTGGAAATTCTTCTTCACAAGGTAGGGCTTCTACGAGCTCCAGTTTGGGAAACACATCGAGCCAGTAAAAATTGTAGTTGCTTCCACTCCTTATGAAGTGGGTGATGTACCCTCCCCGCTTCAAGACTTGGCCAAAGCTATTGACTTTTTCATCACCCCGCAGATGCATCCTGCCCAATCGATACTTTGTTCCTTGGATGTGTTTGAGGCCTTAGAGGACTTAGAAAGTGAGTGGTCGGCAAGGGATCCTCGTGAGTCTGGGGTGGCACTAAGTCGTGGTCCTAATGGGGAACATTTCGTAATGGAAGTTGGTGTAGGTGGCCGCAAGTGTGGTGCCTTCGTAGACATCGACTCCACAAGGAACTTCATAAGTCGCGATTGCATTGAGAGACTACGCCTAAAGGTCAGGTGCAACGCCTGAGTACACCAGTAGCATCTACTTTGGGCATCAAAGAGCGCATGTTGGTAGAAAACTACGATAAAGACGTAGTCTGCACCTTCTACTATGGAGGTGGGGAACTTAATCATAGGATTTTGGTCCTAGTTAACAGCGACTTGCTATTCGACATGTTGTTAGGTATGTACCTCTAGGTTATAAAGCCCCAGTTTGACTGGGACCGAAAGGTGCTCAAGCATATACTACCGGAAGGGAGGTTAGTCAAACATGCAAAGTATAAGGCTAACAGTATGGTAGACACTTACGATTGTATGCATGCATCAATATTCTACAACTATTATAAACAGAACAAAGAGGACGGTATATACTTAGTTTTTCTCTCTGAGAAAGCAGGGACCGTTAAAACACCCCCAAAGATAGAAATTGTCGTCATTAAGTACCCTGATTTGTTCGAGGAGGCTTCAGGAGTTGTAGACAAGGAGGTTGTTCATGCCATAGAGATCATACTTGGTAGCACGATACCAAATGGGAGAATCTATAGGATGGGTCCGACCGAATTGCACAAGCTTCGTCGGCAATTGAAAGAGCTCACAGAGAAGGGTTGGATTCGACCTAGTACCTCCCCCCTCACCTCACCAGTCTTATTTGTCCCGAAGAAGGGGGGGACACTGAGGATGTGCATTGTTTATAGAGGCCTCAACACTGTCACTGTTAGGAACGCAGAGTCTCTTCCGCACATCAACGACCTTTTGGATAAGGTGCAGGGATATAAGTACTTCACCAAGATAGACATAAAATCCGACTACCATCAGATTGCCACTAGACCAGAAGACCAACAAAAAACCGCTTTCCATACCAGGTACGGTCTGTATGAGTCCGTGGTGATGCCGTTTGGCCTATGTAATGCGTCGGATACATTCCAACATGCCGTGTATAGGATATTCCATCACTACTTGGAAACGTTTATCCTAGTGTACCTCGACGACATTCTTATCTTTAGTAGAATTGTCGAGGAGCATGCTCAACATGTAGAAACAATACTCTCATTCCTGCGACAACACAAGTATAAGATCACCAGAGAAATGTGAGTTCGGTCGCACTAAAATTTTATATTAGGGTCATGAGATATCCACGGAAGGGATAAGACCCGAACATGCTAAGGTGGCTAGCATTCGTGACTGACCACGACCTTAGTCTGTACATGAGGTTAGATCTTTCTTTGGGACGATAGACTACTATCGCAACTTTGTGAACAACTATAGTACGGTGGGCGCCCCTTTCGCTGATCTCACATGCCTTGACACACCATGGGAATGGACAGACGAATCCGAGGCTGCTTCCAAAAGACTGAAGCATCCTCTCATGCATCATGAGATTCTCATGGTCCCCGAGACAAAGAGGCCATTCGTTGTAACCACTAACGTAAACCAATATGGCATAGGCGCAACGCTGGCCCAACAGAAAGAGGAAAACTTGAGGCCGGTCGAGTACATAAGCAAGAAGATGTCATCGAAGAAGTTAGCAAAGTACTCCTACAAAAAGGAAGTATACGCCCTCTACGAAGCACTTGTCCACTAGAGACATCATCTGTTGGGAAGGGTCTTCTACTTGAGAACAGACCATCAGACACTCAAGTGGATCAAGGCACAACTTGTTCTCTCCGACACACTTAAACGTTGGATTGAAGTCATTGATCAGTATGACTTCAAGCCAGATTGTGTGAAGGGAGAGTACAACAAGGTTGTTGATGTGCTGTCACGTGTGGCAGACTACCAGGGTGCGCTAATAACTGGGTTTGGCCTATGTGATAATGTTACTAAATCAATGTTGGAAGTCTACAAGGAAGACCCGATCACAATGGACATCATGTGAACACTTGAGGCTAGAGATAAGGCCACATCAGATGAGTTTGTCATAGTCGATGGGTTACTCTTTCTTGAAAAGGCAGGATTCAAGAGATTAGTTGTTGCGGCGAGTGAAATTTTGCGTAGTTTATTTTTAGGCGAGTGCCATGACGCGACCGGACATTTTGGCTACAAAAAGACAAGTGTTAATTTAGTACAATGTTTTTGGTGACCTGGTATGCTTGACGAAGCGAAGAAGTACGTATAGACTTGCCAAGTCTATCAACGGGACAAACCCCCAACTGGAGCTCCACAACGGTTACTCACGCCCTTGTCCATTCCTGTCGGTCCGGGACAAAATGAACCCATGTACTTCATGGACATACTCGTGACCAATAAAAGTGGCACAACGCACATCTTTGTCATGCCAGAAACAACGAGGACAAATCATGTCATCAAGTTATTTATGGATAACTGGGTGCAAGATTTCGGATTGCCCAAGTCCATCGTTAGTGATAGAGATGCCAGTTTCACCAGCGAGATGTGGAAGAAGACCGCTAAACAGATGGGAAACCAAATTCAAATGACTTTGAAGAATCATTCTGAAGCCAACAACTAAGCTGAACAAATGAACTGTGTGGTGCAACATCTGCTGAGGCATTACATTAAGCCCATCCAAGATGATAGGGATGAGAAGTTGCCGCTCATCGACAGTCTGTACAACAACGATGTACACAACACCACCGGTGTCAGTCCGAATCAGCTGCATTTGGGGTGAACCGTGGAAGCCTAGTTCTGCTCTAGACGTCCTCCTGCCTGAAAACCGATCTGTTGCAACTCCCAGAATCATAGAATTTGGTGTCCAGTATGAGAAAATGTTGCAACAGGTTGTAGGGCCTAGGAGCGATAACATTGACACACGAGTTCACTGCTTTGCCCTTATCTGGATGGAATCTTGGTGCATTTGGGCTCTCTGCTTGCAGTGCCTGGTACATGACTATCTGGACTTCTATATGATTTTGCAACTTGTATTTCTTTCTATCTCTCTTGCTCATATTCCTTGCAATTTGGTATCCGATCTGGTTCGAGTTCGTCATTACCTGACGCTGGAGATGCTTCTACACAGTAAGGATACAGTGGCGCAGACATAAACAACCACTCCCGCGTAGAGGGGAGTTGGGCGGAAGGCAGTAGCAGCAGCGGATGTATCTGTGATGATGAGAGCATGTTGATGCCTCATTTTGGATGAGGTGGCACTACATCATGTTGTGGGTGGTACCGAGGCTACGACCAGTCATCGAAATGCATGTCGGCTCAATTGGTGAGAAATTTGTGGTTGGAGGCAGCTATCTTCAGGTACGTTGTTCCCTTACCTTATCTTCCCTCTCAATCTCTTTTTAGCGTGAGGAAGTGACTCCAACTTGAGTGTCCTCTTTTGGTTAAGGGGTCGTGAGCGCTCTACCTTGAGAGTAGACATTCTTTCCGGTGGCGCATCTGGCAGGAGAGGGCAGTGCCTCTGAAAGGCCCTGTTCGAAGCACGCGTCAAGGTCACCATGCAAACCCATAAGAGTAGTACACGCATACCATGCTACTTTGTCCCTTGAGCTCTTTGCTATGCCAATAGAGTTCTTCTAGTCAGATGGCGTGCTCGCAGTACAGCTCGCCGCCTCCACACACAAGAGAAGCCATTGAACTCCAAGAAGTGGAGTTGATCCGCTTACGGTTAGAGAAGAAACTTAGAGAAGCCAACGAAAGAAAAACAAAGATTAAAAATAGGTAAGCCAGAGTAGAGAGTAGGAGGGAAGACAAAGATGTTGTAGAAGGGTTACATGACAATGTCCTTGATGATGCAAGCAAAGTCCTCAAGGTAGTTCTACTGTCCATGCATGCTTACATGGACAACAAACAGGATACTATCTAGGATACCCTTGACCAGATACCGAGTGTCATGAAGGGGATGAGAAGAGCTTTCACATCTCCAACAGGCGAGCCCGGTTTCCGACCCCCATCTTTTTCATCACCGATATCTTCACCGGTGATGACAGGTTGCACTCTGTCTCAGCTTAGCGGTTCACCAAGCGGTAATTCAGCAGCAGCATCACATATTGCTGTTTATTCATTTTCAGGTCCAGCGGCTAGTGCTACACTGCAGCCAGTCCCACCTGGAGGACAACAACATCCTTGGTACCCAAAGACTCCACTGAAACCACCTCAACTTTCTCAGGTGATAAGAA